TAATAATAATAGCAGCCCACAAAGAGCTTATGAAACATAAGTTGAAATATCTAAACTTTTCAAAGATGAATTCAGCTAAATGTCACTAAATAAGTGGAGCTGCTAAATAAATTACAATTACGAACAATAAAAAGGAGAAATATGTCTGAGCAGAGAATTTTACCCATTGTGTATTTTTTTATATATAAGTTAAGAATTGGGATAATGACGTCAGTTGAACAGAAACTGGAAAATCCCAGCTTTTTAACGGTCCTTAAATGAGCGCGGTCCTACCTGAACTCGCGACTCGGGCAGGTTGATTTTCAGCGCCACCTCCTCCCGCATGAAGATGTCCGGGTACCGGGTTTTGGCGAACAGAGCCTCCAGGACGTCGAGCTGCGAGCGGGTGAAGGTGGTCCTCTCCCTCCGCTGCTTCCTGGGAGTCGCTGCGGGGCCGGCGAAGGAAAGACCCGGGACGGGGAACAGAACCCGGTGAAACATCAAAGATAAACATTCATTCATTCACATGAAACAGAACCAAACGTCGTGGCTAAACTGGACCTCCACCCAACATTTATCAGGTTCAGGACTTGATGTGGTGCCGGGTCGTACCTGGGTAGCCCACCGAGGGGTGCAGCAGGTCCATGGCCGCCCCGCTCAGCCCCAGGCCGTTGACCCCGTAAGGGGGCTGTTTGAGGTAGGACATCATGCTACAGGCGGTCACTGCTCCCCCCAGCTCAGGCCAGTGGTTCAGCTTCCCCCGGTGCTGCAGCTTGACGGGACACAGGACCGAACCGAGGCTCTGCGCGCGCGCACACACACACAAACACACACACACAAACACACACACACAAACACAAATACACACACAAGGAGGAAAGCACAACACTGATAAACAAATGTGCACCTTACAGAAAACCTATCCTGACATGTGTCTGACTTATTAAACATTTAGGTCTGAATAAACTCTTGTCTTTTTGCAGTAAAAATCCACATTTATTATTTATTTAWAGCGGCTGATTTATTGAACCTGGAGGGCAGAACGCGCTCCTAAACACGCGCGCATTTCTAATAAAATAAATCATTAATATCATTTAGTCTCAGCGGGAATAAAACATCCAAATGAAGGAGAAAAAAACTCGTCATGTTTAGATAATTAGAAGCACTGAAGCCTTTATGAGCTTTTTTAAACATTAAACTTGTTCTAAAACCTGACTTTAAACT